GCAAGTAATGCAAAAGCTTAACATATGCACAAATAGTTATTTCAATTGACCTAGTTTGAATGCTTTTGTTCTAACAAGCATTGAAATCTAAGTTAAAACATGACACCTAGCACATAATAACAACACATACCATCTTCATCACTCTCTGCTCTGTTTACAGCCCCATGTGTCGGAGTGTCATCATCTTCAATCAAATGTTCTACAAATAAAACAAGTTTAAATTTACAGGAGTGCTTAGAATTAGAATATGTCTATCATAAAGTAATAACTGTCCCCTTTGTTGATATGAAAGACAGAAAAAATTTATTATTTTGTAAAGACTAAGTACAATATTGAATGTAATGAGTTCTTTTAAAAATTCATTTTCTGTTGAACTTTTTTCTGATAGCTGAGTATCTATTACGATTCTTAGATGTCACAAAACACAGATATAATTTTTAAAAATATTTGGTCTCTTTTGAACATGTACTTTCAAATAAGAAATATATACACTGTACATGTATATGATGTCTGTAACCCATTTGATAAAAAAGTAACATTCGAATGACCCAGAGACTATAAATGAATTCTGAAGGGTAGGCATGTTTTAATTTAGATATAAATCTTAATTAATATGGAAACTCTCTCCATCAAACAAAACCTATTTTAATTATAACGAAATCAAAGCAATTTACATCATGATTAACATGCATTTAATGTGCATTTTTGAGCAAAAGCAAAATATTATTGCAAAAAAAAGAACATCTATGTTATTTGCTGTGCAAGTCATTATTTAGGGTCAATAAAGCAGATTTCAAATCAAACAAAATATGTTTAACTTCAGGAAACTCAATTTAAGCTGCTAATATTCAATTTCAACTAAAGCTATAAAAGAAAGCATTTTGTAAGCCATGAACAGTGACTGTTCATTTCTGTAAACAGTCAAGAACACATAATGTTTTAATGTCAACATTATAACTAGTAAGTTTAATATCACACAAAATTTCCTATATACTAATATTCTTTTTCTCAAGTCTGATGAAGCTTTCTGAATTCCCTTAAGAATAGAAATAATATTGATCTAACATAGATCAAAACAAGCATTGTCAATTTTTAGTAATAGCTCCAACACATTCATAAAACTTGGAAACAAATAACACCCCCACTCCCCCCCAAAAAATTAAATAAAAAATTAGTCTATAATCATTTTTATTCAACTTAACAAATGCTGTAAAAGAAATCTTTTTTGTAATTTTTATATAGACAGACACACAACTCATAGAAGACAGATGGATGACACTCTACCATTTAACAATTTGATAAGAGTGTTAAGGGTCCTCCGAATTATCCAGATGAGCTTAAAAAGAAATATTAGAAAAGGAAAGAATGTAATGAATATATTTCCTAGGTGTTCAACTCACAGAGACTAAGAATTACCGGGTATATATTAAAATAAAACACATTAAAAATGCCTTGTGCAAAGATGTTTCCAGCTTATCTTCTTAATAAAGGTAAGCAAATGAATGAAAAAAGCAATTTTTGTGTTATATTTGGGGATTTGAAACTTAAAACATTATTGCATGCTCACATCAACATTGTTATTATGTGTGAATATACACTATACCTTGGTTGCATAAAACATGGGGCAAATTAATGGGTTCTGAAAATAATGTTCAAAGTTCCTGCTATAGCATGGCAATGTCACTTGCATATTGCATCAAGAAGACTTGGTAAAAGAATAAAGATGAAAATGATTAAGGGAAAAGAAATTTTGTACAATCATGCTTATGAAAAAAATTTCAAAGTTTGACATTTGTAAAGAGAAAAATATGGGAATTCAACATACGGTACATGTAAAAAAGGGAATTAATTCAATGAAATGAAATTAAGTTTTAGTTGTATTTAAAAGATTCATGCATCAAAATACAAAAAAAAATTGCATACTAAACATGGTTTACTTTTTTGGCACTTTAAAAGCAATCTTGTACCCCTAGTGACAAATAATTATATACGTTTCAAAGCATAGTACTTGAATGGCTTATATAGTAGCACAATCAGGTGCATAAAAATTGTCTGCTGTTAAGAGCAATTTAACTGTGATTAATTAGCATACATCAAAAAGAACATTTAATCCACTGTTCATAAAATAATAGATAATGCACAAATTTATATTGACATCCCCATCTCTATAAATCCCCACTTTTCAAGCGAGGGGTAAAAAAATATTTAGGAAAAAAAAAACATTCTCTTTATGTCAAGATTTCAAAAAGACCTTAAAATTGCCGATTGATAAACATGCATTTCTACATCTCTGCTTTAATCAAATGTTCTCGACAAATGACATAAATACTTACACCCCCATGCTTGGAATCACAAACTATTCATTTTATGAGTTGTCTCAACTTAGCCATTTGCCAAAGATCCCTGGCTGACATCTTCTTTAATTGTGGCACCTGACCCCACCTCTAATGTTTTGGAGGTTTGTGTTTGCTCTGCTCCTATTTTGTATTGTTTTGTGGACTTCTGACCTTGAAAACTGTTCGTGATCTCCATATGTTTCATGTACAAGTGTATTTAATGTTAAAAGTATTCATATATACCATCTCCATCTGTTCCATTAACACGGACCGAGTACTCTCTAGGATGAATGGTAGTGTCCTCATCAGGGAGCTTAAGTCCTGAAAAAGTAGATATATACACAACATGTACTGAGACATTTTCATTTGCATAAACATGTTAGAAAGGTGATAATGCTGTATTTATTCTGTAGGGTTGCATTCAAAATTTGCAGAAATACACAATAACTCTACCTTTCACTAAAAATAAAGATAAAGAGATAATGATTATGAAGGTGGACTAACCAGGTGTGAGGGTTCTTTTGAAAGGTTCTATAGATCAGACAGACTGATTATATTATCTGTCACTGAACTTTTGGGAGATTAAGGGGTGAAAATGTACATACCAACTTCCTTAGGGGTGCTGACAAGACCGAAAAAATTGACCACTCCCCCAGCAAACAGAACAGACGACGTCACCAGGAAAGCATACTATAATAGATCAAGGTCAGAATCAAAATGGTGGAATGATATTACACATATTTGCTTCATCAGCAATTTTATAATTTAACAAATGTAATACTGAAAATCAAAACCATCAAATATATTTACTAAATGTACTTATTTTACTACTTTAGCACCCTTTCTAATGATTTTTGTCCATTTACCAAATACATTTAATGGCTTTGCTTAAAATACATTAAGTTACTATTATGCTGATCAGTCAATGGGGAATATTAAACTTAATTTTCAGTGCCTGATTCTTGTATAGTTATGATACATTTTTCAGTCTTATGACTGTTTTTTTTTCTATTTACATCATATCCGTAATCCAGTACTCCAGACACCAGAAACGCCCCAATAATATTACCAACAGATGCACAGGCACTCCAAAGACCCAGCACCAGCCCACGACTGAAAGTCAGAAAATATTAAAGATGAATAAATGTAGATGATTTAGGAAATAAGTTTGCTGACATTAAAATAAGATATCAACTTCATTACTCTTGCTATATCCATGTTGGTACTAAACAAGTTTTACTGTATATCTAAGGAAGCTAGGACGGAAAGGAGCTTTATTATTCTCATACAGTTGTGTCAATATTAAAATTTATACAGACATTTGATAATTCTGAATTTCTACAGTAATAAATAAGAGATGTTTGTAAAACACTTAGTATGCCCCCTTCCCCAAATTGGAATTTTTCCAAGTCCAAGGGGTATAACTCTGACAAAAATGGTGCGATTGTACCCAAAACAGAACTTGAACTAGATATTCAGCTGATAAATCTGTATATCAAATTTCATTTCAATATGTGCAATCTCTGCGGAGAAAATTAACGGGAACTGCAAATAATTGGAATTTTTCTAAGTCCAAGGGGCATAACTCTGACAAAAATGGTGCAATCGTAACCAAAACAAAACTTGACCTAGATATCTAGCTAATAAATCTGTAAACCAAATTTCATTACAGTATGTGCAACAGTTGTGAAGAAAATGAACAGAAACTAAATGGACCAACAGACCGAATGACAGACAGCAGCAAAGCAATATGCCTTCCCTTCTTTGAAGGAGGGCATAAAAATTATTTAAAAGTATATTAATCTTACATGACATAAAAAAAGACATGATATACCTATATTTTCCAAACCAGTTTCCCATGATGGCTACCACTGTTGGCCATCCCATGGACTGTAGCAGGCCATTCAGAATCCAGACGATGACGTAGACGTATTTGTTGTAGAAGTGTGCCCACTCAAATACCACTCCAAAGAGAAACACCTATTTCATATACATGTACATTGTTATATACAACATTCATTAAAAAATCAATAGAATACTTTTATCATCGAAAAATGTCAGCTAAAAAAATAGTAAGGCAAGTGTATGAAATTCAGCCAGAAAGAGGATATGATATTTCTCATAGAAGATTCAAAGTAAAGGCTTTAATAAAGGGGTTTTTAAAATATTTGATTACATGCAAGCCCTGGAAAAGGGAGTAGGGTGGGGATTTTCACAATAAAGTGAGAAGCTTATAACTTGTTGTTATGGTATATGCGTAGAATTTGTAAGCAAAATGACCCAATAAAAATCATTTTCTTGGCTATATCACTGTATTTGTTTTATTATAGAAGTTTGTAAAAATTATTCTATGCTTTCAATAAGTGTGCTAACTTAAAGTCATTATATACATATATATATTGGCATTCTGTCTATCAAAATTGGTAGAAATCGGTTGTCCAACTTCAAAAAACTCTGAACAGAGTAGATTCAAAAGTTAAGTATCAGTATTTCACACTGATAAGAGAAAATGGATAGCAATTGTGAATAGTTGACTTAAAAAAATTGTAACAGATATTAATAAAATTAATGTAATCTTACCGTAACTGCTGATGAACACATTCCAAAAGATAGCACTAACCGCATGTTAAATCTAAAAATGGATCAAAGTCACTCACATCAATTTCCATTCCACGAATTTGAAAGTACATTTTTAGAAGAATCTGTTTTTAGAAAAAAAATGGCTTGAATCCAATAAATTAATTTTATAAGTCCTTGATCATGTGGATATTCAAGTTTCAAATATACTCCATACAAATTTGAGACATTCATAAGTTTTTTTTTCCTCTCAATGTATGCAAATATATTATCTGATTATGATGATATCTCTGAGCAATTTATTCTTGTGTATAAACTTACCTATCTCCAATCATTCCACTTATATAGAGACCCTGCAAAGATTTTTTTATAACACATACCATATCAAATGAATGTTTAAAGAAATAAGAGTAAATGAGGCTTCGCCTCAATCAATATTGATATTTTTCTGATGAATAACAAAACCATATTCAACACCAAAAGAGTCTGTAATTGTATAATGTCTAGAGTCAAATGAAATGCCTTGCAGATCCCACACAATTTTCTGTGCATGAAAAAGGCAGCTAGAGAACAGTAATTAGTATTAAGCATTGCCCCTCATAAATTTTCCAGAATCATACAATTACTGTTGAAAACAATATTGAATGTTTTTAATACAGAAACTGTATTATATGTGACTGTGCATTTAAATCTAGGAATACATTTAAACAATTCCAGTCTATGAAAGTAAAAATTTATAAAAATTACCACAGCATAAGAAATCATGAACACGGCATCCAGAATTCCTAGGTATGGTTCGGCATCTTTTCTTGTGTCAAACAAATGGCGGGTGTTCCAGATCTGAGGGGGAAAAATACTCATTTTATCTAAAATATCATACATGTGTAAATTCTGTTTTAAAACAAACATAGGTAATCAAAGATTTCTAAGCTCACCTCGACGAATGTTATCAGTTTAAGTAATGCAAATCTCATATCATATTTTCTTAACAGTTAGTATTTATTCTGACAACAATATTCAAGCTTAAATAGGTCCTAAAGTTCATTGGGATTGATCTGTTCCAAAAACTTAAACTTGGTCACTCATTTGGAAAATGTAGGTCAGATCCAGTATCCAAAGCAAATTTCGATTGTTCATCCTTGGATGCATCATCTATGCAAGTTTGGTCCAAGTAGGGCTTACAGTTACTTAGGAATAATCTAGTCACTAAAGTGGAAAATGTAGGTCAGATCCTGCATCCAAAGCAAGTTTGGTAGTGTCCATCCCTAGATGCATCAACCATGTATGTTTGGTCCGGGTAGGGCTTATAGTTACTTGGGAATGGACCTGCTCCTAAAACATTAACCTCGTCACTCATCTGAAAAATGTAGGTCAGATCCAGCATCTGAAGCAAGTCTGGTATTGTCCATCCCAAGATGCATCATCCATATAAGTTTGGTAAGGGTAGGGCTTATAGTTACTTGGGAATGGACCTGCTCCTTAAACTTAAACTGGGACGCCGATGGTATAGCATAAGCTCATCTCGACTTTGTCGAGGTGAGCTAAAAACTCTCTTTGACCACACAATGGTCAACACTTACATCTGTAAACACACATCGTAAAAATAAAGTACATTAGAAAGAATTCTGGATTATACGACATTTCAAACATAAATTGAATTAGCCAGGTACGATTTCAGAATACACATCATCTGGAAGAGCCAAGTTACACTGTACTAACCCGGTCAGGCTTGGTGAAGTTAACGGTATTGTTGTGATAGGATGGACTCCACTCATCAGAGATCGTAGATTTAACATTGCTGAATGTTTTCCTTGTGGCATGAAAGAATGCGTAGCTGAAATAATGTATGCATACAATTAAAATATCTATAATCATGATAACTGAACACCTTTTAAAAACTAATCTAAGTAATAAAACCCAAATCTAGAACATGTCGAATTAGAAAACACAAAAGCTGATCATTAATTAGACAAATTGTCGTGTCTTTTAGCTTATCACAATTCCTTGGTTCTTAAATCCTATCACTGATTACAGAAAACCAATAATTACTTCTGAGGAAAGAAGATGGGGGGATATGGCAGGCGAATTGCCTATATATAGTGTGACAGACTAGAATTTCAGTGAAAAAATTTATCTTAATTATATCCAAATTTTATTTGATATTTCATCTAATATTAAAGTATACTTAATGTAAAATCTCTACAATTTACAAAAATCCCACAAAGACTGAAAATATTTACCTCTGAAGAAGCATACACACACTAAAAAGAACAAAAATGATCAATTTCTCAGGCTTTAAAATAATTTTTACGTATGAGTGAGTCTTTGCTCCATTTTTTTGAAAGATAATTCTAAAAGTTTGCAATAAAATATACATTTCTTTGTTTACAAAAACATGGAGCGATGACCCACTATTCCTTAAAAGTACACTTTTATGACAAAACATTCGCATCTTTCCGAGAAATACTTCAAGTCCCTTAAGTCAAGGGTCATATCACAAACATGATTTAAATGCCCCAATTCATCATGAGCTGTGTAGCATAGTGATTAGCGCGTTAGTCTCAAAGCAATTTGATACGTCGGATTTTTATTGCTAAGGTTCGAATCCCACGAATGCTATTGAATATTTTTATACAAGAAAAATTTTCTATGAGATTTTTTCTCTCAGAAAAGTTTTTTTTCCTCATAATTTTATAAATTTCAATAATGAGAAGTTAATTTAAATACTCAGTTCACATACTGAATATGATTTCTTAATATCCAACGCTATAGGCATTCTGCCCGCCTTGTTCCCCCATCTTCTTTCATTTTAATCAGGATTATTGATACATGTATATTATTTGACATTTAATATTTTACATATTCACTTATCAAAAGATTCAAATATGCTTTTCAGTACTCTCCTCATAAACCCTTGGCAAATGGTGCAGTAAAAATAAGGGATTGTTTTCGTCATGTGATCTCGAATCTACCTGAGAAAATTTCACATTTAAGAAAAAAGTATGAAAAAAGCTAAATCAAGCTATTCTGAATAGCTCAATAAGGCTACATAGCTGAATAAAGACTTAAATTGTAAATTGTACTGGACCTGTACAATCAGGTAATTCAAACTAATGCTAAATATGCTGATTGTATCAGTCCTTTCCAGTTCATCAGCTCATTACTTCCCTCACAACCCCCCCTCCCCCCCCCCCAAAAAAAATCAAATGTACGGCTTTTCTAAATAAATATACGGTACCTTAAAAATGTAAGCAGAAACACTGCAACATGGTGATGAGTATACTTCGTCATATTCAGCAAACTTCAAAATACACTCAGCTTTGTTCAAATTCAAACGGCATTATAAGGCCCTTTGTGTTTACATACACTGGTGTAAATAATTAAGCGATTAAAAATGATAATCTATAAAATCCTAGTTGCTTTTCTTATTTAATCATTTCGCTTCTGACCATCGTAATTTTAAAATAAATCGTAAAAGTGTCTTCAGTCTTGTGACTCAAAGAGAAATAAAAACAGGAAGTTATACAAAAAGCGACTCTTACATTGAAGAGTTCTTCTGATGCATACACGTTCTCCATAATCAAAGTATTGAATGTACTGGGAAATGTTAAGCATAGTTCTGCTATTGTCGGAAACCCATCATAAAAGCAACTTCCTTAGAAGCGAGCCCGACCGTGGGTTTCCGACGATAAGTTCTGCTTAGTATGTAGGCCTTTCAACATTTTTTTCAAGTTATACATATGGTAAAAACATTTCATAGATAGACTTATAGGTACATGAAACTACCAAAAAAGATAATAATAACTTTATTTGCATATCCACTGCTCTCTCCCACTATGAACACGTAGTCATCAACTGCTTCTACTCTGAATACAATTGCTCTATCGTACTCGTGTAGAATTACCTCTACGACACATATATACCGTGTTGAGAAGTATATATATGAAATGTTTCAAAGGAGGAATAAAAATGTTTTTAATAATATTCTTTGAAAAAAGGAAATTCAGAATTTTTAAAATTGCTGATTTATATCTTTAAAAATTCAATTTTGGTCAATGTATTTAATTGTATAATAAAACTTTTTAAAATTATAGAGAACTGCCAAATTTTTATTTTTTCGTATCATGCATATTTGTACAAAGAACGATAACTCTTCACACTTGGGTAATAACATTCAGAAAGAGAAAATCTCTTTAACTATAGTATATCTATTTCAAGAATGATTTCAGCTATTAAAAATAAATAGAAAAACTAAAAAAAATTATAGAAAAGTATTCTGGAGTAATAATCATTATAAAAGCATTCTCATTTTCATCATAGTGTAAAAATTAGGACTATTGATTTTTGTCAGAGGGTTTTAATAACGTTGATCGATGACGTCACATCTATATCAAAACAAAAATGTGATGGCAGCGCTGCTTGTATTCAGATAACTGTGTTTGAGAAGGAAATACTTTATAAATTGTATGTTATTTATTAGAGAAAAGGAGCATTAATCAGGTTTACTGATTTTAAAGCCGTATGTTTTTCTTTACTGAAGACAAGAAGCTGCGTCCTTATGTAAGTCAGGATTTCCTCTGATACTCTTGAAAAAAAAAATCAAAGAATGCAAATATAAGTAATAAACAACGATTATTCAGTGAACATGGCATTATGAATAGCAATAGCTCTGCTGGCATATTTTCCATGATGCGCTAGCGCGCATCATGGAATATGCCAGCAGAGCAATTGCTATTCATAATGCCATGTTCACTAAAAAACGTTGTTTATTTCTTAAATGTATACATTTAATTAAATGGTTAAAAAGTTTAATTATTTATAATTGACGTGTACGATGTTGTTTTTTAAGGACAGGTAACTCAGGTGTGAAAGTGCCGATTTATGAGTTATCATTTATAGGAATGACATATAGGCTGCTTCAGCATTTGTACACAAAAAGTGTTTACCAAAAGAATGAGAATGTCTTCACTCTACCTGAAATAACAGGGTCAAATGAATGAGGAACAGACTACATTCAATATTTTTAACTCTCTTTGACGATTGTTATTAAGAAGAAAATATAATGTCATGTTTTTTGTGTGTGCACCATAACGCTTCCTATTATTTAAGGAATGAAGCTTATTTCAACATGTTCAACTTATGTTTTTGATATAACATAACTTGGGGCAGTTTACGTTTTATAAACCGCGAAGCGGTTTATAAAAAAGCTAAACTGCCCCAAGTTTTGTTATATCGGATAACATAAGTTGAAATAAGCTTCATTCCTTATAATTTAATTTCAGTGCAGACAATGAGATATTTTTTCCCACAGAATAAGGCTTCACATTGATTCAATTTTAAAAGTAACATGTAACGTCAAGCGGAGTAATACGTTTTTGACGTAACTCATTGTGACGTAGGCAAGTTATATTATACAAAATGGATAAAATCTTTTATCCAATCAAATGACGTGTTACAAGTAAAATTAAATTATATATAAATATATACATTATATATTTTTACAAGTAAATGCACCGGTTAATTATCTTATTTGTGTACGTTACTAAGCACGAAGAAGAACGACCGAGTATAGACATTTAATTAGGTTAGAAGTAAGAAAGAGGGTAGATTTCACTTTTATTTTTAATTCAAAATTTTAATTTTACTTATATGTATAATTAAACGGTGTCCGAATCTATAAGTTAAATATTAGTGCTTAATTTTAAAACCACTGGATTCTACTGACATCAAAGAAACACTTGGGAAATGCTAAAAACTGACTTGCGTATAAGCAGTTAGATATATCTCGGACCTACTCCATGGTCAACTGTTTTCGCATTATCAGTTGACGGCTAGTTGACGACTAGTTGACGGTTAACTACACATTTTCGTATGGGTAAACAAGTTTCAGCAATGAGTTATCGTTCATAACAATGAACCCTAGCGGCAGTTGAAAGGCCTACAGTATGCTTAGTACTCAGTATGTTGACATTTCTTTAATGAAATATCATCCAGACAACGATAAAAAATACTCGTGAATTTTTCAACCGAATTTCGATTTTTGAAAGTGTCTACAATAATTTTATCAAATTTCAAATTCTTCTTTTTTTTTTTAAATATATTTTACAGAAGAAGACTTAATTAGTATTTCTAGAAGTTTTTGGATTACTAATTTTGTGCGTTGAAACTAATCATGCTTATGTAATTTCATTGAAAGTTACATAAGAATGATTAGTTTCAAAAAAAAAAAAAAAATAAATAAAAAAAAAATTTCATTGAAAGTTGATTTTAATGCAACACATGGATATAACAAACAGAATTCAAGATCAAAAGTCCATAAAACAATACTAAAATAGGAGAAGAGAAAACACTGACCTCAAAAACATCAGAGGTGGAATAGTGCCATGGAGGAGTGAGCATCCCCTGTCGAGCGGTCACATACGCCGTGTGCTCCTTGCCATGATCGAGAAATAACGAAAAAATCCGTCTTCAATTCAGTGTAAACATGTATGTAAACATTTAAATGCAGCAAACAGTTCTTTTAAGATTTGGAACTCTTCAACCCCATAGGCAAAAACAAAAACGTTCAAACTACGTTGCATATGTCCTTAAAGTGGGAAATTAGTATTTCAGTGGCTTATAAAGATATTCTCAAATAATATCTTAGCGACTTGGTCATTAAGCTACTAGGGGTTTTCCTAATGTCTGAAGTTACTTTTAGCTTCATTGGAATGTATTTGCTGAATACTAGCTGTTTAACTTTATACAAGGTAATAATTAATAAAGTTTCTGAATACATGTAATTAGATTACAAGAAAAGCTTTGCGCAATAATTCAAATGAAATTATGTAAATGTTTTCGGAATGATTTTTTAAATTCTATTTATTCGGATCGATCCTCCCTTGGTTGATATAATAATTGTGCAAATTATGTAAAGCATAACTAGCTTTTTGTTAAAAAACATAAATCTCTACCCAATTGATCTACCCCTCCACTGTTTTTTTCTAATGAACGCTAGCTGCCATGTTTGAAATTATTGAGCTTTATAATCGCAATTCTTAATTTACCAGATAATCAATGGCAACTAACATAAAAAAATCATATTTGCAATCAGTGACAGCATACATTAGAACTCACTTCCGCTTTCAAGCATAATACGTCTGACTTACCTTCTCCGGAAGGTTAAAACAACAGAATGGCGACACAAATAGAAGACAAAATTTTCAAGACACCAGACGAACAAGAAGTTGACTACTTCCCGTACGATCCAGACCTAACAGATCTAACTCTCATCGTGGAAGGAAGGAAAATACATGTAATCAAAGCTGTGCTAATGGATGCATCACCTGTATTCAGAAAAATGTTCACTGACGACTTTAAAGAAAAGAATGAAGCAGAAGTTTGTCTTTCTGGAAAGGAATATTCCAGTTTCATTTTGTTTCTGAGATGTATTTTTCCAAGAGAATATGTTATTCTTTCTGGTATATGCTTTTTAATTTATATTTTATGGACTTTGATATTATACACTTATCCACTGGCTGTGAGTGGGATAGCTCTTTTATCAAACCCGCGACAGGAACTATTCCCCGAGGGCTTGCCCGAGGGGAATAGTTCCTGTCAAGGGTTTGATAAAAGAGCTATCCTACTCACAACCAGTGGATAAGCGTTTTATTATACTGATGTATAATATAATTTCTATGGTTTGAATTTTTTGGGAGTAAGATACTGCAAGAATAATCTGAAATCCTGATGACATCACAATGCTACTGAAATCATTATGACATCATCAGTCAATAGATTTATTGTTGGAAATCAAAAATTGCATGAAAATTCTCCGAGGGTGGATAGCAAAAACTATACCCCGGGGTATAGCTTTGCTATGCCTGAACTATAAAAGATAACTATTTTACCTTCTTAACTTTATATAGGAAACATTTTAACAGAAGTATAATAATGAATACTGTTCGTTATCTCCATATCCTTCTCTTTAAAAAAAACCTAACTTCGTTAAAAACGTTGGTTAAACATTCATAAAAATAATGATTTATTTTTTCTTTTCAGAAAGAAGTATTGCAGATCTTTTGCCACTAGCACAAGAGTACGATTTAAGATGCATTTTAATGGAGTGTGAAACATGGCTATTAACTGAACTTGAGTTCAAGAAATCAAAAGTACAGAACCATTATGAAAATAGCGTCGAATACCTTACGAAGTGTCTTTACTATGGCAATGAGTACTGCTTGAGAGAATTGTATGCTAAAGCTTTCCAATTAATGATTCCACATAAGCTCACCAGATATAAGACGAATCAATTCTACCAGAAGCTTCCTGAGAAAAATAAACGGCTTACTAAGATTGAAGAAATGGGGACATTATTAAACACAATTACCTCATCTGGATTTAGTTTGGGTACACCAGCTACATGTAATTATTCAGAAACAACGACTTCTGCACAAATTGTCTTTTAATGTTCAGCTAATTTATTCATATAAGAACATATTATTATTACTTGTTATCTACACTTGTTATCTACCAAATACAAGCGTATTGTGCCTCTCTCAACTATACATTTCCTATAGCTTGGATCAAAGTTGAATTCTAAACACGTACAAGAAACGTGATTCCATTAAATTCACGTATTTAGTTGGTTATATCGGTTGTTGTAAGATTCAATGTCAATGCGAAGGAATTGTTTTATCATAAAACTCTAGAATGTAACTTTTGATATAAATACCAGAGATTATTATATAGTCTATTTATAGTCCCTATATAATCTATACAAACGCAAACAGTTCATAACACTACATATTCACCGGATTTGAGGCCGTATTCACCGGAGGGTCATTGCGCGTGCAACGGCATTGTGACGTCACAATCAAAACATCGAACAGCGTTGTAAACCATTGTGGCCGTATTCACCGGAGGGTCACTGCGCGTGCAAACTTCAAAGGTCAAGGTCAAAATTGTAAGAAGGTCGTGTCACTAGGAATATACCTGTAAAATACGAAATCCCTAGTACTAACCCTTCAAATATTTGACAGTTTTTAAGTAAGTTGTCAGCTTTTTAAATTTAATAAGTAAAGGTTTTCGAGTATGAACTGATTGATGAACTTGCATGTTCATAAATCCAAGGGCCAAACAGGTCCTTGGCGTGTCTAGTTCTTTATGTTTCACTGTTAACTATTTTATACAGTATAAAACAATGGTTGCACCGGCTGCAGCGAGCTACGTATCTGGGATAGAATGCACTTTACCGGTACGGCCGCCATTTTGATTCCAGATCCGCGCGTGAAAGTGCGCGGCGTAAAAACTTAGCAACGTATCAACTATGATGGGCGACGCCATTTTGTTGTGTAAGAAACTCTCGAAGCGAGATAAAAGATATCTAAATGGGTTTTCGCTTTTTAAAGCGGGGGTGTGGGGGCGGCAGCCCCCAATACGTAAACAAAATGAATAAAACAAACTTACCTTAGTCGTTAGATAAATCTGCGCTAAGACTCGGAGCCATACGTATGTGTCACTATACATATCGTACAGATAGAACTATTGTGTCTTTTTTTGCACTGAGTTGTAAATACGTTTTTATGGGTGATGAAGGAGATAAACGTCAATTTTTAATTATAGCTACTATCCTAGTGCATTCTTGTTTTAGTAGAGATTTCCTATATAACTGCATTCCATGTAGTCTCAATGATTGTAAAGAATCCAGTGTTTTGCAAATTGAAATCTCTAGATATTTTAGTTCGTAAATCCAGGAGTATGTTAGATTAACAGCAGCTCTGTTTCCAAAAATCTAAGATGTGTCTTTTACGTTTCATTTTTCTTATACTGCCGATTGCTGTTTCTCGAAACAAGACCGTCCTCACTGCATGTTTATAAGTTTTGCCCCTCCACTTATTCAACATTTCCAAAAACTAAGGATCACATTTATCGCTAAAATTTCCAAAAATTCTAGAATGCTGCAGTCAGTCAATTAAAAATATCCATTTATAGAAAACACAATACAAATCATCGTAAATAAGGTGCATGTTGAATCGCTGTTTACAATCATATAGAGTGGCAGTCAAACTTTCTATTTCACGTCACCTACCCTGACCAATCACAGCACTGAAATAAGTCACGTGCTTAACAACGTCACGACTTTGGAATGTGGCCGACAGAATGAAAGTGAATGGTTTGTTTTGAAAGTGCTTTTAGTTTTAATTAATAACTTCGTTAATTAAACGAAGTTTATTAACATGAAAAATGACGAGGAATTCAAAAAATAGGTTATTTTTGCATTTTATTGCCTTTTTAGCGAAATCGTCACGCTGACGCGTGACTCTCTTATAGAGAAAGAGCACGTGCTATTTCCATATGATTTGGACGTACCGGTAAAGTGCAGTTGTCCCCGTATCTGAGCAGAAAAACAATTATTCAAACCTATTTCAGGATTATTTTTTAACATTTGGACGTCTTACATAATTATAGCAAAATTCGGAAAGGAGAACACGGAGGTTACAAAGAGTAATCTGGAGACTTTTTTCTATTCTCAACAATGGAAGATCGCAAATGAAAATGGTGTCGTCATACAGCCTTCACTCTCTTTTTTATTCAAATCCCGACTATATAATAAAACAATTATGGACTCTTTTGGCGTTGAATATGGTTCAAATTGTTATTCACCAAAAAATATCCATATTGACCTCGGCTTCGCCTCGGTCAATATGAATATTTTTCTGGTGAATAACAAACCACATTCAACACCAAAAGAGTCCATAATTGTATATTATCTCTGTAATACATGTTTCATCATCTATTATTTCTCGAAATTTAAATTATTTATTCCGTTTCCTGTTCTGTTTGTTGTTATTTCTGTTTTCTATTCTGTTTCTTGTTTTTGCAATACACCAGATCTTGTCGATCAGCAGTTCAGCTTAATTCTTTTTTCTGGTTGAGCCAAGTGTGTAACTAGCGAGGAAGCATTGCAATAACAACAACAAAAGAAAATAATTTTGCTGATCAATCAACTCAAGTACCTTTACTCATAATGTTGTTATTGACAAAATGCCAATGAGACAAAACTTTGAAGGAATCGGAGGACGTAGGCACAATTCTTCCTTTACAATCCACTGTTGAGGAAAATGTTTCCCAAATAGATTCCTTAACAGTTTTCAGCAGTAACCGATAACTTTGAAGATAAAAAGGCATGACTCCCCTATTTCGCGAATAGCACATCCAACTTTTGTTTTGTTTCTGATGTATTTGTTCAAAGAAAATACTTAACAGTATAAAACATCCATGTACATAGTTAATTCTGTTTGCATCTTGACTAAATCACTTTGTGATTGTGATATATGTAATTCTTTTAAGAACCAGCTGCTTATTCAATAAAATAGACTTTTGAGCCTGAGTTATGCTTGTTATCTCTATATATAATGACATTGAAGTAAACTACCCATAAATGACCATTTAATGAATAGTGATACATTCCTAACATATGTTTCACTATATATTCAGTCTTTCGCGCGGAAAATCTCAGTCTTCGGAGCGGAGGTCTCCCTTGGAGAGAAATCTCACTATACGACACCGGTCCGCAGGTGATGCTTAATCCTCTATTGCACCTGATTCCACTTCTACTTTAAGAGGTTCTGCATGTTCTGTTCCAAAATTTTACTGTTTTATGATTTTCAGACCATTACTTATGCAGCGATATACCTTCATCATTTGCACGTGGAGGTTTTATATCTCAGTTGATTTGATACGCAAGAGCATGCTCTACGTATGAACAATTTCTAAAACGAGGTAAATTACTGACAAGCAAGTTGATAAAACAAGAATATCAACCGTCTCATTTAAAGTTCATTTCGTGAGTTCTATGCTCGATACAATGACCTTGTCAGCAAATACAATTTATCATTGAGTCAAATGCTGACTGAAATTTTTCATACTAATTGTTAGTTTATTATTTATCCACTGAATTAACGACGGATTTTTTCGTTAATTCATGATCATGACAATGAGCACACGGCGGGTGTGACCGGTCAGCAGGGGATGCTATCTCCACCATGGCACCTGATTCCAGCTTTGATGTTTAGAGGTCCGTGTTTGCTCTGCTCCTGTTTTGTAATTTTCTCTCATTAGGTTATTCTCCACGAAATCATTGTTATTATGTAGTTTTATATATTTGTAATCTACAAAAGCATCCATACATTGTCATTAAATAATATTCTTTGTTATATGACATTGTCAGCAAATACAATTTATCACTGAGTCAAATGCTGACTGACGTTTTTATACTAATTGTTAGTCTATTACTTATGGACGGAACTGACAACGGATTTTCCGTTATTTCCCGATCATGACAAGGAGCACACGGCGGGTGTGACCGGTCCTTATGGGTTGCTCACTCTTCCATGACACCTGATCCCACCTTAGGTGTTTCGGAGGTCCGTGTTTGCTCTGCTCCTATTTTGTATTGTTTTATAGATTTTTGATCTTGAATACTGTTCGTTATCTCATATCTTTCATATATCATTGTTGAAGTATGAAAAGATGTATGTCCTAAGCAATTAATTGATCCATCTTAACCAGTACCTATTCTAAATATTATTCACGAAAACATTAAAAATAATTATTAGTTGACTTCCCGTTGTCACTTTAATTGCCTGAATCACGTGTTTTTAGTAAAATTTAAATATGCAGTATACCATTACGCTCTTGTATTCTTTCATTAGATTGGACTATTGTTCGCTTAAAACGACGCTATCTACATAGGGTATTCTTTTCGACCTGATCAATGGGAGATAACATTGAATTCAAACTGACTTGTCATCATCCGAGTAAGATCATAAAAAGACATGGCTACCAAAATGGAAAACAAATCTTTTGAGAAAGACGAAAACGATGCTGACTACTTCCCGTACGATCCAGAGCTGACAGATCTAACTCTCATCGTGGAAGAAAAGAAAATACATGTAATCAAAGCTGTGCTGATGGATGCATCACCCGTATTCAAAAAAATGCTCACCGACGACTTTAAAGAAAAGGATGCAGCAGAAGTTCATCTTCCTGGAAAGGAATATTCTATTTTCGTTTTGTTTCTGAGATGTATTTTCCCGAGAGAACGTGTTACTCTTTCAGGTAGATGCTTTTTAATTTATATGAAAAAAACATGATTTTTTATTCTTTTGGTTTAAACATTCATGAAAAAGAAAGAAGCTCTTTTCATTTTTCAGAAAGAAGTATTGCAGATCTTTTGCCACTAGCACATGAGTACGATGTGAAATGCATTTTAATGGAGTGTGAAACATGGCTATTAACTGAACTTGAGTTCAAGAAAGCGAAAGTAGGAAACCATTATGTAAATGTTGAAAATGACGTTGAATACCTGCTCAGATGTCTTAACTATGGCAATGAATACTGCTTGCCAGAATTGTATGCGAGAGCTTTCGAATGCATGATTCAATATAAGCTCACCAGATATAAGACGAATCAATTCTACCAGAAGCTTCCTGAGAAAAATAAACAAGAACTTATTGAAGCACGGCTTACCCAGATTGAAGAAATGGGGACAATATTAAACACAACTACCTCATCTGGATTTAGTTTGGGTACACCAGATACGCCATCCTTTAACCCTTTTGCGACAGGTCCAGTACTTGTCTTTCAATGTTCAGCTGATTTATTCATATAAGGACATGTATATTATTACAAGTTATCTTCACCCACCTAATACAGGCATTCTGACATTTCAATTGCATATTTTCTACAGCTCTACATGTGGATCAAAATTGATTCATATTATTCACTAACACCATTAGAAAAACGTTATAATTTTTGGTGCCTTCAGATATCAGGATTTATTTGCCTATTGTTTCTTTATTCTGCTTTGTTCAGAATTTTACATTCGCAAATATCCATGGACTGCAGATAAGTATTTTTTTCTCCGCATCTCACTATTCTACAACTGAATAGTGGTGCAGCTGTAAGTTACAAGTCAAAATGGCGATTCAAATTGGTGGATATCCATTTTTTCAAATTATTTCCTAGTGTCGTTCAAATAGGAGAAAAGGATGTGTTAATCCAATTAATCTCTTAATATTTAAGTTATTTAGAACATTTTATAGATTATTAGAAAATAAATTTCTTCAGAACAGCAGTTATGTAAGCACTTTGATTACAATTGAGCACTGTATTCAGTCAGACAATATGATTTATCTGCCCTTGGCATTTCATCAATTTATTACAATTGTACAAAATGATTTTTAAATCTGAAAAAATGTACCCCTAACCAAGTTTTCTATGGTGAAATAGGCAGATACCCAGTAGAAATATTCATCAAGTCCCGAGTTATTGGGTTTTGGCATAGACTTGCTTGTGGGAGACAAGACAAAATATCTTTTCTCATATATAAATTGTTATAAAAACTTGGAGAACATGACTTAAATCAGTCTAAAATTGGATTGTTTTGTTGAAAAAAAAAACCCAACACATTTAATGCTCAACAAGGGGAATGTCCGAGTTATGATTACAACAGTATTCTCCAAAGAAAATATTGGTGTCAAAACTGTTAAAAGCTAGATTAAATGATTAATTTAAGCAGTATTGATATGCCAGTATTTTTGATATGCCCAAACCCTCAATTATAGGATATTTAAATCAGAAAATTATTTTAAAAACTATTTCCTACCGGTATATCTACCAAAGGATTTGAGAAAAGCTTTATGTAAATTTAGATGTATGAATCACAGAGTTCAAATTGAAAAAGGTCGCTTTTGGGGAACTGACAATGATGATCGAATTTGTGATCTTTGTTCCTGGCATTTACATACAAGTTTAAGTTTCATCAATGTTTTCTTGTTGTAATTGGTGACAAGTAACAAATAGCCATGTTGTATGTGCTGAATTAGACAGCTGACAAAAACATCTGTATATATTGAATACCTTACATAATAAGCAAGTATCCGATCGATTGTATTTGTATATTTTGCATTTCTCATCACCTGCAATGTGTAAGACTTGGGAAAACCAAGTATGATCACAAGGAGATCATTTAGGTCTAGTGCAATACCATAAGCAAGGGTATTTTTTACCAGATTGCTGAAATTCTTCTATCAGTTAATTTTGTTTTATACTTCTAAAGGATCCTTTACAGTGTATATTGTATTATACCTAGGTGACCGTTAAGGACTATTTCTTTTCTTGTTTTTGCAGCACATCCTTGTTTATCAATTTGATCATATTGTTCATCAGTTCACCTCAATTCTTTTTCTGGCTAGGAAGTACATGTATTACAACAACAACAACAACAACAACAAAGAAAAAAAAATGACGATAATGCTAATGAGACAAAACTTTTAAAGAGTGAGAGGGCGTAGGTGCATTCCTTCCTTTACAATCCAGTGTTGTCTCATGTAACTCTATAATGATTGAGGAAAAAGTTGCACAATAGATGCCTTACCACTTTTCAGGAGTCACCGATAACTTACACTGATAAGAGTAAAAAGGCATTAGATTCCTCATTCTGCGGAAAGAACATCCATCTTTTGTTTTGTTTTGTTTCTGATGTATTTTCCAAAGAAAATACAGAACAGTATACAACACACATGTATGCAGTTAATTCTGTTTTGCATTTGACTAAACCACTTTGTTATTCTCTTTAGAGCCAGCTGTTTTTTTCCCAATAAAATATACTATTGAGCTTGACTTATATTATCTCCATATAATTTAATTTTGTTTGTACCATGCATTTTTATTGGTTAAACACACAGGAAATATTTATTCCATTTTGTATAATCTGGTTAGCTCTGGTGCCTCGCCCCCTTGACAACCCCTGCCGGAACTACTTTTTATGTATGTGAATGTAAATATTACATATGCATATGCATGTAATTGTTTGTTTACATGATTTATGTAACTTAGATAGTAAAGGAGATAAAATTATTAAAAAGTATAAATTCTTCGTCAACTTTATTGACGTATTAGTTAAAGTAAGATTTCTTCTTCCATTTATGCACATTTAGCAAAAAAATTAAGGATTGATTTTGGGTGAGTAATGTTTTCTGTGACATCCGGTCACAGAACATCTGCTTTGTTTATAAACATCTTTTTTAAACATGGCATCAAACTTTGATTTAAAATATAATTTTAATCAACATCTTGATCAATCAACAAAGAATGAAGATGATGTAGACTGGGGGTCTCTAGACTTCCTACTTGATGACGAATTCCAACTGGAACAAATTGTTTCCACATCAGCAGAAGATGCAATTAAGGAATTAGAGGCTGCATTTTCTGCTGAAAGAAAAGAAAACTTTGCGCCACCAAAATTTGAAAATCCTTCTGGACAATCTACATGTAAAAGGTTCAAAACTGCCACAGAAAAGGAACTTTTTGACCTACAGGAAAAAAGGCAGTCAAGATCTACTAAAAATAACACCAAATGGGGTGTTAAATTATTTAAGGAATGACTCTAATTCTTGGCCATATTATCGAGTATAATCTGGTTTGGGTCAGTTTACGCTTTATAATCCGCGAAGCGGATTATAAAGCGTAAACTGACCCAAACCAGATTATACTCGATAATATGGCCAAGAATTAGAGTCATTCCTTATAATTTAATTAAAAGATAAATAATTCAATTTTTAATGATAGGAATCATTTATTTTTACATCAAATTTAAATTTACAAGTTATCTGTGATACGCGCATGAATATGCTTAGCAACGGCCGACGAGAGGACGGCAGACATCTTGGAATACACAAAGTGCAGAGCCGGTTATTTTTCAAAATTGAAAACACAGTTATTAAATGTGGAGTTTGCCATGAATCCTGCTGAAAGAATATTCGAGGATTGAAGGGAAACTATCCGGGATTGGATGACGAGGCGGAAATGGGAACGTTAGATGACATGCGATCAATGGACTGGCTTTGGTCCTCAGTCTGCGATTTAGGAATACACCCTGGGCTGCATGTAGAAACGGTAAGTCTGCTAAGTGTGTCGCTCATGTTTTTCTTTTGGATCGTGGTACAGTCTCTGTTATAACTTCTAACCGAAGCTTCACTCTTGTGTCCGCTCATATGCATTATGTGTCTTATTTCATACCCGGCATCGTTCATCCCCTGAATAGCTCTTGCCCGTAAACAGTGGGCTGTGTACCTTCGGGAGCAATCAGAATGCTTTGAAATATCTGCCATAAATCTAGTGAATTGGTATGGTTTAAGTGGAATGTTGTCATACCAAATTTCCAAGTTTTCCGGGGAAGAAAGTGCGGCTTTGATACAACGATTAAACAGGAACTCAGCATTTGGATCTGTTTTTGATATAAAGAGTTTAAGCGTTTTTAATGGACATTTATCTCCGGCGCTAGGCACAGCATACATACGCTTTTCCTTTGGATTTTCTATAGAGTCGATCCCACCTTGCCAATTTTTTTGTTTTGTTTCGTGAGATAATGTGACATACTCATCGCCATTTTCATCCGTTTTGAAAACAAAAGAGTCCCGTTTCAGTTGGTGATGGAATTCTAATCCACGTGTGACAAATTGCATTGAAATTATGAACCATGTTCTGAAGCGGAGGGTGATTGGATTTTCTGTATCAAAAAGGTAAGCAGAAATTTTGAGCAAATCAGCTTGAGGTATAATTTCCTTATGTTGTGTAGGCTTAGATAGGCCGTCCTGCAGATTTTTCTTCAATTTTCCATCTAGAATGTTGTTACTAGTGCGAAATTCCCTTCCCCTAACAATATCAAAATCCCGTCCCAAGTCCTGTAGGTATCTGTTGAGTGCTGATCTGATAGATTTGAAAGAATTTTTATGGTATTCCATATTTTGGCTAGGTTTTCGTTTGTCTGACTGTTTACATGCTTCTGCATAAAATCTGCCAAGGAGTGTGTTCAAATCACTGGCAGAAATGGTCTCGAAATCTGTCAGGTATCCTAGTGATTCCATACTCCAATCTAGAAAAAAAAGGGGGGGGGGTAAAAATTGTCAAAACACCAGAAGAAACACCTGGATAGCTTAAAGAAAGCGCTTATGATCATATGTCATGAGAGATTTGGGTGCAATTCCCAATCTGGGTTAAAATAATGGTGTATTGATATATTAATATTGCTTTACCCCTTTCAACTTATAAAGATTTTTTACCTTGAAATAATTTAACACCCCATTTGGTGTTATTTTTAGTAGATCTTGACTGCCTTTTTTCCTGTAGGTCAAAAAGTTCCTTTTCTGTGGCAGTTTTGAACCTTTTACATGTAGATTGTCCAGAAGGATTTTCAAATTTTAGTGGCGCAAAGTTTTCTTTTCTTTCAGCAGAAAATGCAGCCTCTAATTCCTTAATTGCATCTTCTGCTGATGTGGAAACAATTTGTTCCAGTTGGAATTCGTCATCAAGGAGGAAGTCTAGAGACCCCCAGTCTACATCATCTTCATTCTTTGTTGATTGATCAAGATGTTGATTAAAATTATAATTTAAATCAAAGTTTGATGCCATGTTTAAAAAAGATGTTTATGAACAAAGCAGACGTTCTGTGACCGGATGTCACAGAAAACATTACTCACCCAAAATCAATCCTTAATTTTTTTGCTAAATGTGCATAAATGGAAGAAGAAATCTTACTTTAACTAATACGTCAATAAAGTTGACGAAGAATTTATACTTTTTAATAATTTTATCTCCTTTACTATCTAAGTTACATAAATCATGTAAACAAACAATTACATGCATATGCATATGTAATATTTACATTCACATACATAAAAAGTAGTTCCGGCAGGGGTTGTCAAGGGGGCGTGGCACCAGAGCTAACCAGATTATACAAAATGGAATAAATATTTCCTGTGTGTTTAACCAATAAAAATGCATGGTACAAACAAAATTAAATTATTTCAAGGTAAAAAATCTTTATAAGTTGAAAGGGGTAAAGCAATATTAATATATCAATACACCATTATTTTAACCCAGATTGGGAATTGCACCCAAATCTCTCATGACATATGATCATAAGCGCTTTCTTTAAGCTATCCAGGTGTTTCTTCTGGTGTTTTGACAATTTTTACCCCCCCCCCTTTTTTTTCTAGATTGGAGTATGGAATCACTAGGATACCTGACAGATTTCGAGACCATTTCTGCCAGTGATTTGAACACACTCCTTGGCAGATTTTATGCAGAAGCATGTAAACAGTCAGACAAACGAAAACCTAGCCAAAATATGGAATACCATAAAAATTCTTTCAAATCTATCAGATCAGCACTCAACAGATACCTACAGGACTTGGGACGGGATTTTGATATTGTTAGAGGAAGGGAATTTCGCACTAGTAACAACATTCTAGATGGAAAATTGAAGAAAAATCTGCAGGACGGCCTATCTAAGCCTACACAACATAAGGAAATTATACCTCAAGCTGATTTGCTCAAAATTTCTGCTTACCTTTTTGATACAGAAAATCCAATCACCCTCCGCTTCAGAACATGGTTCATAATTTCAATGCAATTTGTCACACGTGGATTAGAATTCCATCACCAACTGAAACGGGACTCTTTTGTTTTCAAAACGGATGAAAATGGCGATGAGTATGTCACATTATCTCACGAAACAAAACAAAAAAATTGGCAAGGTGGGATCGACTCTACAGAAAATCCAAAGGAAAAGCGTATGTATGCTGTGCCTAGCGCCGGAGATAAATGTCCATTAAAAACGCTTAAACTCTTTATATCAAAAACAGATCCAAATGCTGAGTTCCTGTTTAATCGTTGTATCAAAGCCGCACTTTCTTCCCCGGAAAACTTGGAAATTTGGTATGACAACATTCCACTTAAACCATACCAATTTACTAGATTTATGGCAGATATTTCAAAGCATTCTGATTGCTCCCGAAGGTACACAGCCCACTGTTTACGGGCAACAGCTATTCAGGGGATGAACGATGCCGGGTATGAAATAAGACACATAATGCATATGAGCGGACACAAGAGTGAAGCTTCGGTTAGAAGTTATAACAGAGACTGTACCACGATCCAAAAGAAAAACATGAGCGACACACTTAGCAGACTTACCGTTTCTACATGCAGCCCAGGGTGTATTCCTAAATCGCAGACTGAGGACCAAAGCCAGTCCATTGATCGCATGTCATCTAACGTTCCCATTTCCGCCTCGTCATCCAATCCCGGGATAGTTTCCCTTCAATCCTCGAATATTCTTTCAGCAGGATTCATGGCAAACTCCACATTTAATAACTGTGTTTTCAATTTTGAAAAATAACCGGCTCTGCACTTTGTGTATTCCAAGATGTCTGCCGTCCTCTCGTCGGCCGTTGCTAAGCATATTCATGCGCGTATCACAGATAACTTGTAAATTTAAATTTGATGTAAAAATAAATGATTCCTATCATTAAAAATTGAATTATTTATCTTTTAATTAAATTATAAGGAATGACTCTAATTCTTGGCCATATTATCGAGTATAATCTGGTTTGGGTCAGTTTACGCTTTTTTATAATCCGCTTCGCGGATTATAAAGCGTAAACTGACCCAAACCAGATTATACTCGATAATATGGCCAAGAATTAGAGTCATTCCTTAAATATAATTAAAGGCATAGAAGTAAATTTCTCATCAATGACCGATTAATGAATAATGATACCTCCCTGGGAGATTCTCACTATCCACTCTTTCAGGGGGAAATCTCACTATATTGCCAGTCTTCCGGTAGGAGGTCTCACTATACGATGCAGGTCGGCAGATGATACTTACTTCTTCATGGCACCTGATTCCACCTCTTAATACTTTATGAGGTCCTGTCTACTCTGTTCCAAATTTTAATCTAATGGTTTTTCAGCTTGAATTCTGTTTGTTATCTTTATATATTTCATATTTTCAGAATTAATCATTATTTATAAAAGGTTTGAGTTTGGATAGATTGATTCTCTGATAACCAGAAAGACCTGTTTGAGTCATACAATTCGAGATTCTTTAGCCACTATATCTTAAATTCGCTCAGAGTTTCAAAGAAAGGCCATATTTCTTGAATTCGTCCCGTTTTGAATTCGCTCACATATGTTACTGGCGAAAGTGGTGAGAATTTTTCTGTATTTATTTGTTTCAATTCTTGAATATCGTATATGTGTCAGTCATTTGTTGAGGATAAACTGTTTGATAATTATGAAGCACTTTTTATTTATGATTAAATAGATGAAGTGATCCTTGATTATGCTCTTGCTTCAAATATCTTTAATATCACTGAATATCTGTCGCTTTTCCAAAATGAATCTTATGTATATTTTAAAAGGTAAGACGACACGTTCCTGAAATATATGTTTTGTATCGTTTGGTATTATATAAGAATTATTCATTTTGTCATTCTCTCCTGATTTCTACATTGTTTTCAAAATTGTTTTTATTATAAGTACACCAACATTGTGATATAGGCCATTCAGAAGATTACCCATAAGGGTTATATACGAAATATGACCCTGTAATATCTTGTCCAAATGCCTGGTAATGTTTCCTAATTTTTTGTGAGGAAACTTGTTTAAGTACTTATACTTCAATGACAAATTCTTGGGGAAAAATATATTTTTGAGGAACGTGTTATCTGACGTTAATTATGTTAATTGATAAGTGACCATTATGACTACCGGTAATAAAGTTACCCCCTCGCTTTTCAGTTAGGGTGCCCTATTTGTGGCGAATTTGGTTGAAATTCTGTATGAGATCCTTTAGTAAGACTTGTATACCCTTTTGAAAGTGTGTTCCCCATGTTCTCTTAATAAAAAAACCTGCAAAGATGTTATGTTATTGCTTTTTTTTTTAAATAAAAAAGTAAAATCAATTATATTATACATGTATATAACTGATATAGATAAAGCAAGAAACTCGCAGAATTTTTGTAAGGAAATCATTTTTCTCTACATTAAACTTTTAATCAATACAATCCTCTTTAGACACAATACTGCCAGATATTAATCAATTTTAAAAAAAAAAGTATGAACACAACTTTACTTCATAAAACCTTTCTATTCTCCAGCTCCGACAAAAAGGAAATCAAAATGTTGCTGGTTAATATGCTTTCATTATTTTTATCGTGAATCAAAGAGGAGACTTGCAATTGTTTAAGGGATCTTTGATAAATAATCAATTGTGAAATATAAAAGGAAAATATTGAAATATAAAAGGAAATATTCATAATCAAAATATCTCTTTGAATAAATATATATTCATTATGTAGATGATATCATCACTTTATCTATAAATGATTAATCGCAGATAAGAAAATCAGTGTACATGGCTAGAGGCAGTTAGTAATTTTTATGTTAAGTTTGAGGTCAATAAGACTAATCAAAGCTATATTATAACAAACATTCTTTGTTCCGTTTTTGTTTCTCCAATTCCTTTAACGGTGTAGTGAATGTGTGTTTGTTATTTTTTTTAGTTACAAATATGTTCAATACATTGTGAATCAAAGAAGAAATTTATAAATGTAATGAGATTTTTGTGATATATCTACTAAACGTAAATAAAATCATATTTTAATGACACTATTCCAATTTAAAAAAAATCTAACAACCACGCTATTCGATGGACATGTTGACTTTTACTTTTCAATCGTCACTTTCCTTCTTTCCCTTACTTTATGCAGCAATATACCTTTATCACCTGTAACAGGGTTTATATCTCAGTTTATATTCGACATTGAGGATCGAAGATCATCCCTATTCTTCTGAAAAAAATCTAGAAAGAGATAAATTATTGAAAAACAAGTTGGTGAAAAAAGGATTTAAAGTCATCATTTCGTAAGTTCTATGGTCGATAAAATGGCTTCGTCAGCAAATACAGCAAATACAATTTAGCACTGAGTCAAATGTTGACTGACTTTTTTCATACTAATTGTTAGTCTTATAGTCAGTTATTTTTTGTAGGTTTTACAATGAAATATTTGGAGATAACGAGGATTGGTTGATTGCCTGTTGTTTTAAGGAAAGGATTGCATGGGCCCGTGAAAAAATTCCGCCCAATGAATTTTCTTCTTTTTTACATATAATGTGCCTTATGTCAATGATACCATTTTATCAAAGTATCAACCATGGTCATCAGGGTTATAAGGAAGTTATGGTTGCCATGGTAACCACCACTTTTTAATCTTTTGATATTCATGAGTTGAATGTTTTATTATGCCATACACGCAACAAAATTGAAACAAATTAAAAAATTTCCTGCAGATGCTCAATAATATGCTTTATATTTATTGAAAATAAAAATTGTTTCGGAAACTATTGATAGATGTAGTAATGCCATTGTTTTTTGGGGAAGTATTAATTGTAAATTTGCAGTAATATTTTCACCTCAGTAGCAGTTTTTAACGTTTAGACAAAAAATTGCCCAATGAATTTTCCCAAAAATAATAAATGCTGTTCTTGTCATTATAAGTGACTTATGATTAAAATATGAAGTAAGGTAATCAGATTCATTTTGAAGCTACACGCATTTCAGTACCCCCCCCTTTCCTAGAATATTAAAAGGTTTCACAGATTTTCTTAGTACGTTGGTTTGTTGTTGGACCTTAAATATGCATAATCTGTTTAAAGACAATAAAGCCATATCTATAGATAAATAATTACTTTTTCAGGTGATGCTCATTTTATATGTGAAGCATAATGATTTAATTATCACCGACAGTGGTTACAAAAATAACTTTCTTTTTTTTTTCAAACTCAGTTTTTAATCTGCAAAACATTCATTTTGTTACTTTATCAGAATAAAATTCATAATATATTCTAAACCAGTACACAGTTCTCAAAGGCCTAATTCTTCATGCTTTTAACACTCATCGATGTTTCTTCTTAGTGACCTGAAATCGGGAGGGGGGGGGGGGGGGGGGATTGGCAGACATTTGAACACATTGAATGAAAAGAGGTTATTTCATAGAACTTGTATCTGCATTTTGTTTTTTGAAATAAATATCCTCATCAATGAATAATCTTACTTGGCAAATAGTGATTATTTTAAATATTTACATTTACAAAATAGTTTTCCTTCCGATTCTTTGCAAGTGAAAGAACACTTCATTTTCTCCTGTACATGGATGAGCGCTATCTCCATTGTGACGTCATAATGACAAACTTGACGTCAAAACTATAGATCTAGTCCTGTTTTGAATCAAAAATAATCGTTGAATGAAATTACTTTTGCGTGGCTTCCTGATATATGCTGGAATGAAACACCTATGTTCATGTCCTTATGATTTTTCAAAAATTAAATTCATTTTTCAAATATTTTCCCATAAGCATAATGAGTTCAAATGTTTTTTTTTTTTATGTACATATTTTCCCTCTCTGGAAGTGTGTTGTGTTTCAATACAACGCATAAAACATTTTACAACAATCGTTTACAATATAAGTGCGATGATAATTTAATTTTAAATGGTCGATGTCACTGCTGAAAATGCTAAAGATCTTATAGGAGAACACAAAATCTTCTGCAATATTAAAAACAAATGTCTTCTAGGCATAAGTGGTCTTCACCGAAACACGTATACATATCAAAATCGCTATCGTTCATCAATTGATATTTATACATGTATCTAGTAAATCACGCCGTCTGAATCTCTTATTGGAAATTATCTATATGAAGATGTAGATCCTATGGTAAAAAACAAAATTAAATAAAATTCTAATTTTAAAATGAGGACATAAACCTCAAGATATAAATTAATTTTATTTTAAATGAAATAGATTTCAATGTTCAGAGATACACAATAGCTATAGACGTGTCAAATCGTAAAACATGCACATAGATAAAAAGTATGGTCAACGCTCACCAACACTCTCAGTGTATCGTAACAACCTTTAATATCTTATTCTTTCTCTACTTTAGGAAAACAAACCCCTTTTCACATCAGCGCAAACATATCACGCTCCTTATTCCGGAAATAGTTACAGCAAACATTCTTTTTTTAATCACCATATGACTTGATCACGTGACGCCATGCAATCGCGTCCTTAAGTCCCATTCGAATTTTTTTCACTTTTATAGAAATGTCACTATAAACCGGTGAAGGGCTTCAAATTTAAACCTCTACTAGTCACTCATGATCAGGGCCATTGAGTAGTTAGAGATTTTTATCATGCCAACGTATGCCGCGACAATTCAGTATGTATAATTATAATGTCCTAACAATAAGTATGAAAAACCTTCAGTCAGCATTTGACTTAATGATAAATTGTATTTGCGGACAAGAGCATTGTATCGACTATATACCTTACA